TAATTCCATTAAAAGAATTACGAAACATCAATATTTTGGAACCCGAATAAGTGTATACAATACATTTATCACAATCCTAATGGAACTACATAACATTGCTCTAAATTCAAATATGACTTTCAATTGACAAAGTTCTAGCTTAAGTATCTGTACATTACAAGTTTTACCGTCGGCTCAAACGGGTTGTGGTTCGACCCAAGAAAAGCCCAAGGCTGCCCAGCTTGTGGCTCAAAAGAACAGAGCCAAGGTTTAGGCCGAGCCCCATTTTCGGGCGTCGACTCGAGATCAAGCCAACCCATGTCACGGGCCATTTTCAGCCCATAACGAGCCCAGAATTAAAAAGGAAAATATTAAATGAAAAGATAGCACTGCTGCCTTGTGCAGGTGCTACCTAACAGGCAGCTATAAAGCAACTATGTGTGATGTTGCCATAACAGGCAGCTAGCATGTTAAGGCGACAATAGTTGTTTTGACCTGTATTTAAAATTTCAAATTAAAAAAAAATAGATAGCAGGCTCAGTTCGCTAAGGCTCAAGCCTAGATTTTTTTGGGTGAGCAAAAGCTTGGTTCAAACTAAAAAAAGTCCGAACTATTTTTACTCTCAAGTCGAGCCCGATCTTCGAGTTTTGGCTCGGCTCGTTGACATTCCTAGGAGCGGCCGACTGTACTGGCTCCGCTGGAATTTACAAATTGGAAGCAGACGCCACTCGCAATTGTTGCAGTCGCCGAGGAAGATTGAAAGAGGAAGATGAGTTTTGGGCTTTTTTATAGATTGTTGGCCTTTTGTTTTGGGCTATTCTTTTTTTTTTCTTCCTAAAAAAGTTCAGCCCATTTCCATCGGCTTGCTTTTGTTGTAAACGATACACGAACAAACCAATCCCTTCTTCATTAGTGAAATATTGGTTTCTGGAAATGAAATGTGGTAGGAAAAGTGAAAATCAGTTTGCAAAATTGGCATGATTGCATTGGTTGCTAGGGTGTTGACATTGGGTCAATTGATCCTACATCAGTCGCCAAGACTGGTGGTCGGGTGGTGGTCAGGCTTTTCGGTTGTTTGAACCGCGCTTCTCTGCCCAAGAATCAACAATTCAAGGTAGTATTGTAGAAAAAACAAGATACCAGAATAACTCTGATACCAATTATTGTGAAACAAACCACTGGATTGAAATGTTGAAGTTATATGGCAAATAATAATGAAGTATATAATCAAGCAAAAGAATAATAAAGACAAGAATATGGTAGAGGAATTCAGAGATTTTATTGACTCAAAAATAATGGAGAAGAAAGAAAAATTATAATAGATCCTATAATTTTAGTAATTTATTTTCTCACATAATAAAATTGTATAGAAGAGCCTAATATTTATAGGGAATAAGTAAGGGATGTCCAAACCCACATAGTAGAGTTGTTGATGAAGTAGGACTTCAACATGACGTAGGACTCCAATAATATTCCAAATTTAAATTGTTCATGACGTGCATTTCAATTAGAATTCTTCAATTTACTTGAACAAGTAATTCATGTCACACTTAATTTTAACAATCTCCACCTTGACACAAATTCCACCAAGGAATGAATTGACTTCTTCAACAATAACCAAAAAATTCATTTTTCAAACCAAACACAAAATATTTCATCTCTTCCAATGAATCCACGCACCACTCTACAGAATTACCTCAGATTCTAAAAAATTATAATAATTTTATAATTTACCAAAAAGGGCTGTAACACACCCCAAAGCAAAATCAATATCAAATGCTTTTACAGAAGGCTTATTGTTAGATTGTACACCTTCTACTCCACTTAAAGCATGCTCAACAAAATCAGCATCCACATGTCCTTTTCCATTGGGTTAGTCCCTAGCAATTTAATACAATAGCACCGCAGGTGATGGTGACAAAGCGGCATTATCTATATCTCCCGAACTCCATTTAACTGTATTCTTCAAATTCGACCTTTTATAAGCTCCTAAAGGTATTGTACCAAACTGAATGTCCCCCGCGGTCCTGAACTTGTGCTGATTGACTTTTCTAATTTCTGGATGATCCTGCAAGATGTATAACTGAGACNTGTCCACCATGGTCCTGAACTTGTACTGATTAACTCTTCTAAATTCTGTACGACCTTGCAAGTTGTATAACCAAAACATTTTCTATCCCTCCAATACAACTGGGCACCCTTACAAACTTTTAAAGCTCCATTTTCACCAAGGAACTCATAACCTTTTGAATCAAGGATAGACAACGAGATGAGATTTTTCTTCAAATCTGGAACATGTTAAACCTGGCAAAGTGTTCTAATTGTCTCATCCAAAAACTTCAATCTGACTGTGTCAATTCCAGCAACCCAACAAGATGCGTTGTTTCTCATAACCACAACACCTTTGGAAACAGTTTCATATGTAGCAAACAAGTCCTTATTATGACACATATGAAACACACATGCTGAATTAAGAATTCAATCATCTTCCAGTTTAGACTTAATGTCAGAAATAACTAAAAGTTCTCCATCACTTACAACGTTTTCCACGAGGTCCACTTCGCTTGAAGTATCTGAATATC